ACCTTTCTTTTCTTTCTTTAAAAACTATGATCTACATTCACATTGCCAAGCTTGCAAGGAGATTCTAATGGGCTGTTCATGTGATAGACAAAAAAATAAATATTAGTTACCTGATATGTACAAGTGACCTTTACATTTGTAGACTATTTCTAAGTCTAGATTAGATTAGACTTCCCAAAGTCTGGGTATTAAGTAGGAAGATATATTTTCCTATTATTATAAATTTAAGTTTTTGGTTTCATAGTGAAACCAATTTAACAGCTTAGCTAGAGAAAAATGACACACCTAATTATACAGACGATTTATTTAATTCACTTAAATTAATAAAAAAAAACGGTTGATTATTATTAATTATGTATAATGTCAAGCTTGCCTTTTGATTAAATAATTTTATAATCAAATAAAATGTAAAAATGGGCGATTTTATAACGCAATTCTATGCTTTTAATAGAAGGTTCTAGAAAAATGATATATGAAAGATAAAACCGAGGGCACAATGGCTATATTTTATGGTAAACCTAGCCACATTATTCTTGAATATTGCGATTTAAGCTGCGATGCACATGTGGTTAAAAACCGTGTTACGTAACCGAAACTAAAATTTCAGGTAAAATCAGACCACACAATCTTTGGACATGTTTTATGAAGATTATATTTAATTGTTAGAGAGCCATGCTTTGGCTAGAAAGGGTCGGGTCGACCGGAGTGATACAACGGCCTTACCTACAGAAAACTGACTTATTTCGCCGGTTACTGGAAGCCAGGATGGGCTTCCGGTAACCTCTCCCGCAACCCCTTCCCAATCCCAAAATCCCCATAACACTAATCCCCAAAAGGTCGGCAACGTACTCGTAACTCCTCCATTGTCTCGAGTGTGCGACCACCGGCTGATTGCTTACCATAAGCTCGTTTAATGTCCTATCACATAAAAAAATGTCTTAGTACCTACTTATCTACATACTATATTCTAACCTTGTACAAAGATAATTTTGTTTTAACAAGAACGGTGTATGTACTTGTTATCCTCTTGTTGTCACTGTACACATGTAGCTACTTAGATTGTCTCACCTCATGACCTATGAGACGTCCTACCCTTTCACGTTCACTTACAAAGTAAATAGGTTTACCTTAAGTACATACTAAATTTTAAACAGAATAATAACGTTAATCTTGTCAAATATAATATTCAAAATTGGATACAAAAATAAGACTTGAATTTATTCGTTGCGTTATTGATTCTAAATTCAAAAATGTCATACAGATCTGTTGAGTATTCAGCCGGGCTTGTAAGCGTTATTATAATGTAGCAGGTAAAAGAACGCGGTAATTTTTAGTCAGTAAGAGTTTTAAGCTCCCTCTCGACCTACCCAGGAAAGGAGAGGTCATTTGAGTAGTTTTAGCGTGAAAGAGAAACAATCTGCCACATAAATCCTCACGAACCTTAGAATTTGTCACATTACCTAATAAGATATAATTTACAAGCGACTTGCCCCGGCTTCGCACGGGTGCAATGCTGATGCTAATTTTCTACTTTATTTTTATAATACATATAAAGCTTCCTTTTTTAATCACCCTGTCTATTAAAAAACAAATCATAAATCCGTTGCGTACTTTACAAAAATAAGCATACATAGGAATATAGGGACAGAGAAAGCGACTTAGTTTTATACTGTATAAAAATTTTGGAAATAAAAAAGGTTATTCAAGAAAAGTTGTTTAACCAGAGTCATGTGATTCTTTATTCATAAGAATACTGTATCAGCTGCGGCACCGAAATCTTTGTGGCCTTACTGCTTGTGTAGTAGTGTCACCCCCGTGGGCCCTGTCCCAGTTTTATGGTGTCAAATATTGAGCGACAGCCAATCCCTTTCCGTACCTTCTCGTGCTACTTTAAGATTATAGCTTACGTCACTGAACCTCCCTTTGCTTTAAATCCAGTGTTTCAAATTGTTCTATTTGACAAAACTCCTAAATGTTCTTTATATTTGTAGTTTGTTCAAAGTCAGAAGAAAAAAGTGAACATATGAAAGTGAGGTTTATTTTTGTTATAAGTCGCCAAACCAATAGACGTATTACCTGATGGTAAGCAATTAGCTCTCAACGTGGACACCTGCAACATCGGAGGAGTTACGAGTGCGTCGCCAACCTTATAAGGATTAGGGATTTGGAGATATTGGGTTTAAGAAGAAGTTTAAGACTACGCCTCCGGTAACCTCACTCACATGGCGTAACACAACGCTGTGCTATTTCAAGCCGGTTTTCTATTAGCCTGTGGTATCACTCCATTAGAGCCGACCCATTCATGCTGAAGCATGGCTCACACTTGAAATCGTGGTAAGGTAATCCAAGAATCAGAGAAATCGTTAAAGAAACAATGGCATTCAGTGCTATTTCCACAATACGAAGGGCGCACGGCAGACTATATTTAATGGCAAGTAGCTATACGTCGAATTAATAGGTCGAGATGAAACAGATAAGGATGTAATTTCCGTCTGTTTGGCAAAGGTCAGTCCGGCGGCCGCCACTAAATCTAATTTGTTTACGACCACCTTGTGATTGTTACTGTACGCTAATATACCTAGGTAAATTATGAATCGGAAAACCGATAATCATAGTACATAGTCGGAGTCTGCGAGCTCAAAAACATGGGTTGAGTATTTTGCTTTATCATAATATGTATATTATGACAACTCTTCACTACAACAAAGTAATAAACCTTCCAATCGTGGCTATTCGATTCACAATAGAAGAAAAATAGGTGCGCGAAAGCATAACCATAAAGAATCACACATTCTTTCATTGATTTTACGATAAACCTGCATTCATAATTTTCTACCTAATTTTTTTACTGGCGCAAATTAATATGGCGCTGCAACCTTGTCATAATTCGAAAAAGAATAAAATTTGATTAGTTGTCCAGTAGATAACCGTCGTGGCTGACCGAATTCCATCGCCATCTGTCTACCATTGACGTATAATGGGCATCGATGGTGGGCACATTTGACTAATTCGCAAGTTTATTACGAATCAGAACTAACTCATAAAATAATCAATAAGTTTTAAGATTAAATACCTTCAATACCTTCTTTTTTGAGTTTTCTTTTCTTCTTTTGCCACTTTTTTATTAAGCATTCGATTATTGTACTTTGTTACACACTATTAAGATACTCTGATTAAAGTAATAGAACAATGTTGGACGTCGAATTCTCCCACACAAAGCGGCCTCGGGTGGCGAGGGTGCCACAAAAAAATCGAATTTTATTCGTTTTGTCATTCGACGCACTCGGAACGGCGGCCACTATAAAAATCGATTTCTTACTTGCAAGGCACAACTTTTCACTTCTACCCCATTGCTAAGAGTTTTCTTAGCACTTGCTACTTTTTCTAAGTTTCATAAATCACGTTACAACTGTTGTTCTTAAAGTGATAAGTAGGTGCGTGCCGTGATTTGTTTTTGACATCAATGTAACAGTAGAAAAGTTTTATATCAATAGTCGGACGCAATACTTAAATATCAAACAATCTACAACTACTAGCATTGACCAGAATATCGAATAAAATATAGTAACTTAACAATAGCAAGCAGACAAATAGGATGCTATAGGTAAATCTGAGTGTAAAAAATAAATCCGTTTTAGTTAGCAAGTATTTATACGAGAGTCCATAATAGGACATGTTGCTCTCGACAGATGACTAAATGTGAACATTTGCTTATTTTAACCCAACAACCAATATTTACCTTGTTCAGCGCCCAGTTCTCGTATTTCAGTTCTAACACGTCAGAAACATTCAACAACTTCATTTTATGATGACAACAGCATAATGAGCTCAGGAGTCACGCAAAACAACTTCAATTAAGGAAACAGTAAAGCCCGCTATGCCAGATAAATCGCTATAATAAACATCGACATAAACAAACGCAGTTAAATTCCTAATCAATTCGAAAGTATCTTTAATCTTGGTAACGTAGCTAAATAAAGAGGAACTAGAATGGTTCAGAGTTATAAGTAAAGTAAGGTTTGTTCGCTTTGGCAGTATAATATCGCATATAAGTATACGCTGTAGGCTGATTAGTCAGTTTCACTCTTTGTCTTGCTTCGGAGTAATGAAGACCTGGGTTACTGGAGAAATTGGACGAAAATATTAAATTGGAATAAAAGAGATTAATGTCGTCAAGCTCAAAGCTTAACTTCTCAGTCGCTCTAAAATACACCAATACAATAACTTAATATTAATCTTAAAACGTAAATTGAACAATTCAAAAGGTTTTATCACAAACATGTTTGCTTAACTATAAAGATGACTGGATTTCACTATTATATAATTAAGTAGTGAAATGAAATGTGGGCAATTTACATACATAATATGATGTTGTCAATTAACACACGTAGTACTTACAAACTAGTTTGGGCAGTTACAAACAGTAAATAAACATAGGTTTGTTATATAACATTTTATTTAAATTTTATGGCACCTTTGAGTATTAAATCGTATGTAGTTTACAAATGTTAATGAGTTCATTCTTGCGTTTAATGTTACAAGTAGATCAAGGTAATAGCTTACGCTAAACTATTGTTTTCAAATTAACCTCCAACTAAGTTATACAACAATACATTAGTTCAAGACTAGGATAAACTAACACAAATCGGTGAAATCTGTAGATAGTACAAACTACATTTAATTCAACGTTATCTCTCACACCACGGAACACAAATTATACTATCAGTAACTAATAAATAACCTAATTAACTTAACACGAACTTTGGCTAGGTCTACACATTGAGCTAAGTCTCTATAAAAATATATTTTTTTTTAGAAAATATGCATGCAAACTTGGAAATTCGCTCAGCGGATATACGTTCAATTGTATGTACTATACAAATAACTTCAACAGATTCTAATTAAATTTTACTAATAAATTCTGTTTGTTGAACAATGAGTAAACATGAAGTTTGTGGATACAACATCAATAAAGGTGTTACCACCTTCGCTCCACAGTCTCACTTCTTCCCATTCACTAGACCTGGCTCTAGGGGGACTATGCTTTGTACCGTACCAGTTTTATCCAGTTCTTTGTTGACTTGCTCCGCTATTTCCAATGGGTCGCCATTATACTTCACAAAGAATACCTCGTGTTCCGAAGGGGTCGATTTTGGTAATACTACTGGCTGTTGTGTCTCCGGATTTTTCACCAAAACATAAATGAGGGTTTTGTGTTCAACTGAAGCGTTACTCATTTCAGCAATTTGTTGTAAACGAGCCAAATTGGACTTAGATTGTTGCGAAGGTACCTTAATAAATATAATTTTGTAGTTCTTTTTCGGTGGTGGAGGTGGCGGTGTGGTTTTTGGTTCTTCAATTTCTGGGGGTGGCACGTGGAAATATATGTGCTTGTACACCGTAGGAGTTATTGGTGCACTGTTAAAATCGGAACTGGAACTTCCGACTACATTAGCTGAAGCTGTTTGAGTAAAACCTGTGTTTACAATCCCACTACCAACTCCAGCTTGTATGGTTGCAGAGGTTTGTGATAAAGAATTCGAGTTTCCGTTGAATAATGCACCAGATGATTGACTGATACCAGAATTTAATGATGAACTGGGTTGTGAGATCAGCGGTTTCCAGCCGTTATCCGAGTTGAGTTGTCCATGCTGTGTTGTTGACTGGATGGGTTGGCTGTAGCCATTGTTTAGACTCTGGCTATTTTGAGAAGAGCTTTGAGTGTAACCACTATTTATGTTATTATACTGTGAGTAGCCTCCATTAAATGAGCTTCCTGCTGATGTGAAACTATTTTGGGCATGAGAATTACCTGAGCCAGCAGAGCTGGGGGAAAAGTTTGGTGGAAAATAGGAGTAGCCTGAATTGTAATTGGCACCAGAAGAGGAAGATGAAGATTGAGTATAACCATTGCTGTTTGAATTTACGTTGCTAATTGGTGGGAATGCTTGGGAGTACCCAGTGTCAACACTTTCCCCGACAATTGGTAAAGGATTCGGGGCGTAATTATTGTTAACACTTAAACTGCTAGAATATGGGACTAATACATGTGAATACCCACTATTTGAATTTGAATTAGCTAATGATAATGAGGTTTGTGAGTGACCATGGCTGACAGCATGGCTAGAACTACTGCTGGCTTGAGAATAGCTATTTAATGCATTTCCATTAGAAGCTTGGGGATAACCATTATTGTAGCCAACAGATCCAGAATGTGGAAAGGGTTGTGGAATACTTCCCGTACTACCACTAGATATAGCTGATGAATAACCAGAATTTACAACATGGTTATTAGATTGATAGCCAAGGTTTACATTAGTGCTAGGGGGCGCTGGAATCTGAGAGTAGCTATTTGCATAAGAACCGGAAATTGGTGCAAAGTTATGGCTGTGACCATTGTTGTAATTATAACCAACTGGTGCAAAGTTCTGCACAGAGTTACTATTCAGGTTTGCACCGGACGCTACCGGTGCAACGCTCTGTGGGTAACCAGAGTTTACGTAACCATTGTTCACGGGCGGCGTTGCATATCCTCCGTTACCAGCCGCATGGTTGATGAAACCCTGATGCCCGCCCCTATTTTGGTGGACATCATTCTTTAAATATACAAAGTCCTTGTATGATACTGAATGTGCCAGCTTGTCCTGGTCGTTTGGTAGCGCGCTGTGTTGTTGCGAGCCCGTCTGAAAATTCGCGGGTTGATTTCCTGGCAGACCGAATGACGCACTAGGCGTGTTGTATTGGTAGCCTGCATCGGCTAGTGCCAGGCTGATCACTGTCAAAACCTAAAAAGAAAACAACTTATTAAAATCACAATGCACTACACAAACTTATAACTGCACTAACACAATTTTTTGACAACTATTTTATTACGAAAGGGACTGACCAACACGAGTGACATCTTCGTTTTCCCATACACACACCAAATGATGGCCGTCGGCCCAAAGGCTATATTTATAAACGCTTTCCCTTTGACAAAATGTGTCTTAGGTTTGCTAATTTTGTATAAATGATGAGTTTGGGTCGATCACATTTCCGGAGTCACTAAGGCTGCGGATTGTGTGTGAATCGTAGCGGTGCAGAATTATTAGATACCTACAATATCTACGTACCTCAACAAAATCATATATGTATACTGTATAATGTATAACCCGTTCCGAGTATTTACACTTTCCTGCAATTCCTATGTCGTAAAAATATATAAGATGCATTTGTGTACGCACATTTCAACAATGGTTTCTCACTAGCACATTCGTATTTTACAGGCAAAGAAATAAAAAATTAACTAATAACAAATTCTATTTAAATATTGAATTTTGCTTGAAATTATATTTCCGCTGCCCGCTCCGCTTCGTAATGTAACCTAAACTTCGGATATTATAATTCACGTGAGATACTGCCAGATATAAATATTCAAAACCGAACGATAACACGACAGTTTCACACGGATCGACGATGATAGAAACCCTCAAATGTGGAAAATTTAGGTGAATAGGCCTATACTACGTAATTATGTAAAATAACTTTATCGTGCCGAATTTTTAATCAAAAGTTGCACGGCCTTTGAAAGTTGGTTTGTTTATATTGTAACTAAACTAGCCATGGCCAAAACATACTTTTATTGAGGGGTAAAATCACTAAATGGCTTGTCACACCCTGGATAGAGCGAGAAGTAATGTCAGACTCCCACTGACTAAAAACTATCCCGTTGCTACTTCGGCTCCAGGCCTAGGGTTTTTGTGAGGGGAATATCATAGAAATTACTTCCCTCACCCAAAGTAAGTGGATTAGACCTGGAACATATTAGGCCTATTGCTCTTGACCCGCAAAGCCGGCTAAATTTCTCATAACCTACAAATAAAGCAATTCTTGTAAGTTATTGCTAAGCACGGAAAGGAAACATCTAAAACATTGTTCAATCTACGTTAGAAACTTTCTTATTTTCGTACTGTCCTACGATTAGTCCGGCCAAGATTCGACTTGCAAATGTTATGTAACAAAATATTGCCTACCGGTGTTTTATTTAATCCCAGTTCCATTATTTTTCCTGACGACACCCTGTTTACAGTTTGTGTGACACTCTAATTTTCTGTGATTACTAGGATTTTTAAGTAAAACATTACTGAGCCTCTATTTTGGGACAAATCCCAAGATTAAGAGGGTCCCGACTCAATTATGGAAAGAAAATTTTGATTAAGAAAAAAAACTAATTTAAAAAATTATTAGTGTATTAATTTTGTAAAGGCTTACCTTTACAAAATTGATATATTTTTTATATACTTAACATCATCATCATCATCATCATCAGCCTTATTCCATCCACTGATGGACATTGGCCTCCCCAGATGGAACGCCACTGAGCTCAATGTTCAGCTCTTCTCATTCAACCACTGCCACCGTCCCCACGGATATTGTCAGTTCACCTAGCTGCACGGTGCCCTAAGCTATGTTCATTTAACATCAGTTTGGATATTACCTACAGCACCAATTGTATCCATAGACAAAACCGAATTTTACTGTTTATGATTTCGTAGAGCTTAAGTAGTTTCGAATGAATAAGAGTTACGTATTTCTGTATATTCTGAAGAATCAGCTAGGAGAACATAATATGCAATAGCAGAGTTTTAATAGTTCAAAACACTTCTATAAAATACCGATATATTGTAGATTTTCCATTGCATAGACACATATATATCAGCCTATAAGTGCCCACTGCTTACCAAAGACATCGTCTCACACGGAGAAGGCTTGAGCATTAATCTCCATGCTCGCTCAAAGCGGATTGGCAATTTCAAACTTATGATTAGAAATTATAAGTCCTGGTTTCCTCACGATATTCTTTGTCATTATCAGTGATGTCTAAATAATCATAGAAAGTACATATAGCTTGCAAAAGGGCAAAATGGTACTTGTCATGTATGAGAAGCGTCATCATAGAGCCCTAGAACAATATCTATTGATAATTACCCCTACATTTCCTACAATTATTCATATTACCAGTAAACCTTTAAACAAATCAATACCTAATGCAATTATTTACCTACTGTTCGGAATAACAGCTGTAATTAATGTATACTTTTCTTTTGCTTGTTTCAGTTACGGAGAAGGAAATCCGGCTGTGGTATGTTTTCTTCGAGCAAAATGATCCTTACAAGCTAATGATACATATAAGTAACAGAATCCCAGAATAAAAAATATCTTTAACTTTGGTGCATCTTTGTCATGTCATAAGTTCAGCACTATGCAGTTATTGTTTAATGTAATAAGTTGTTGATTTTATTTTAGTAGCCAAATTATACTTTAATTGGAATATTAAATTTCTTTTCTAGGCACAAAGGATTCCTGAAGGACTGTCCGAATGGTCTCCTGACCGAGCAGGTACATACCTACATTATACCATAAACATAACTATACGATACGATGAATTTTTTATCAAGAGTTTTTCTAATTGGCCCATACGATAATCTATATTTAGTTTTCTAGAGACAGTCACATAGGGGCACAGGTAGTCTATATACACATATGTATAGGAGGAGACTCATATCATACCTAACTAGTGGGTGGCAGACTAATTTAATAGTTGAATATGATAGTAAAAGCAATAATTAGGCAGAGACTGGTCTTTGTAAACGAAAACACAGGAAAAGAACAATGATATGCATGAAATATGCTAATTCAAATTTATCTGTCATTCCCAATCTTCAATCCTTAATCCAGCAATTCTTGTATAGAAGAAATACTTATGTTATTTAATTTGAATATCGGAAACGGCTCCAACGATATTCACAAAATTTTGTATAGCAATGGTTAGACCAATTTCTCACAATTTCTGAAAATGAATCCTAATTCAAATAGTACCGACCGAAGCTCAGTCATTTATGTACTTTAAAATTATATGGTAATATTTTTACTCTAAATTTCCAGGGGTTCATAAAGATCTATAAGCAGTTCTTCCCGCAAGGTGATCCCAGTAAGTTTGCATCCCTCGTGTTTCGGGTGTTCGACGAAAACAACGTAAGTGGACCTCCCTGCTAGCTCCATAATCTTGTGATAGCATGCATAATGTTAGGGTAACGACCACAAAAGAAAACAAATGAAAACCGTGTCATTCTTTTCCAATAATAAGTAGGTACTATAGAACTCTGAATCAAAAGCAATAATGTTTTGCAAAACCTAAATATGTACGTAACACTACTACGAACGAACTTATAAGGTGGTTAACTTAAAGTAAACAATCTTGGTATGTCTTTTTATATCAAAGAGGTCATATACAATAACTACATACAAAGATTATTTTTTAGTTTATTCGCTTACATCGATTTAAGTAAATACCTAATTGTAAATATTTAAATACAATTCTAGACCACTTTTAGATAAGAAACGTGCCAAGATTGCTCACATTTAGTTAATTACTTGAACCAATAGAACATAGTAGCGTCTAAATCCATTAACAAAGTAAGAGAAAATATCCCGAACCTAACCTACATGTTGAGTTACATACCAATAACTCAATATTTTTTGTCTCGTTGTTTTTTCCCCACTCTATGATGTCATCCAATAATACGATCAAGCAGATGACCAAGAGAAACCTAACCACAAAAGATCGGCCCACTTTCGTTGCGATTACGACCAGAATATATGGCCCTTAATTAATATTAGGTAACTAAAAACTACCTATTTAATATTCATTGACATTATGTGCCCATCAAGCACGTCGAAATCGACTTTATTTTATAAATACACAAATAAAAATCGAAAAAGTTGGCACAGCAGCTGCGCAACGAGTTGACGCATTATTGCCACGTGTCACGGGTTCGACTCCCTCACGGAACAACTGTTTGTTAAGTGTGTGTGCGTAGCTAAAAATGGTTGTTCCTGGTATCGGTATGATGTGTATGTGAATCTGTATGTTAATAAAGGCATCCCCGATACAGGATAAAATGCTAACGTGGAACAACCTTTTAAAAAAAGATTAGAAAAGTAAATTCAGCCTAGACATTTTGTTTCTTGTATCTTTAATATTATGCGGTTTGTATATACATATACATAGCAATAAGAAGTACGCTGGTATTGTACCTAATTATGATAATATTACAACAATCCTCTCAATATTCTTGTCATTCAATGACTTCTGCACTGCAGTGTCTCGACCAGGAAAAGTAATCAAATACGTTTTCGTTCCAGGATGGGTCCATCGAGTTTGAGGAGTTCATTCGAGCACTATCGGTGACGTCACGGGGAAATCTAGACGAAAAACTGCACTGTAAGTATATGCCGTCATAATTTATATATTCGATTGATATTATTGGTACATACGGAGGCAGGGAGTGACTAGTCAACTCAACTATTAATGGGCCTCCGGAAAAGGACGCTAGCATGTAGCGACACGGGGCTACATACGTTGAGCTGCTTGGGGAAGGAGAGGCATTCCACGGCTATCGGAGCAATCCTGGAAGTACGGTCAAGATCCCTACCAGCATCTTACTGAGATACATACCCCGAGTCTCCTTTAACTCATGCTATTATTATTTTTTTAAATTTTTCCTCAATATAATTTAAGTGCAATAAATTACTCTTAGGGTGAGTTGCACCATTTAACTTTAACCAAACCATAACCATAGGAAGCCATGAAACGGCCTCCTATTGGTCAGTTCGACGATTTGACAGCTGATAACGGCTATTTTATCGTTAAAGTTAAATGCTGCAACTCACCCTTAGTAACTACTACAAGTTACTCTTAAGCAACCAGCTTAATGATGCAATAAAGAATTCTATTTTCAAACTGATTGAAAGATAGTAACCATAAAGAATATAGAATTTACTAGAAGACTGACTGACAGACTCTTTTTATCTTTAAACCTTTTTTGATGTTCAAACTTGCCTTATAATGATCTGAAAGAATAAACTATTTGACACCATAATAATTAGCACTGGTGGCTTACATCATCTTTCTCGTAAGAAGAAGTTTTCCCTCTATTCCATTTTCCCAGTTTTAAGCCAGTGCCAAAAATAATGGTCCATTTATCAAGTTGAAAATCGAATAACCAAGTTCAAATATTGGAAATTGCAATTTCCAATAATTTAATTATTACGCTTCGATAGCGGTAAACTGTTTAGTGAAAATTTATGCAGGTTAATTGGTGGTATACATTTCAGGGGCCTTCCGACTCTACGATGTTGATAACGACGGCTACATCACACGCGACGAAATGTATAATATAGTAGACGCGATCTATCAGATGGTGGTAAGTTTGAGAATTATCTTACTTCTTACTTATATTATAAATGTGAAAGTTACGATGTATGGATGTTTGTTAACCAATCACGCCAAAACGGCTGGACGGATCTGGATGAAATTTGGCAGAAGCATAGGATACACTATAGAATAGGAGATAAGTTACTTTTTATCAACATACCACGCGGGCGAAGCCGCGGGCGGCATCTAGTAAAAAATATTTGAAAAATAAGAAACTAAAGTATTACCTAAATAGGTTACCATTGAACTTTGACCATTTCTCAAAGTAAGGTTCCGGATCCAGGACATCCTAGTCGCTCCGTGTCTAGGTATCTATATCGAAGCAGACATTAAGGTCGCTTCTATGAACACCTGTGACATCGTACATTACAGCTTCATCTCCCGTTTAAACACAAACATATGATGAGCAATGTATTGCGGACCGCCCGACGAGAAAATGACGCCTAAGAATAATTAACGCTGGTCCCTATTTATGTAGGTACTTGACACCCCAGTGCCAAGTAAAGATCTTTATATAAAATTATAGTTTTTATCCAAGAATACCTACATACATTTTCAATTTCGTATCCCTCAATCGTATCAGGTCTATGTTGTTTATGCCTTTTAGGCCCTATGAACGGAAAACACGCTCGTAACTAAACTGTACATCCCTAAACAGCTTGTGTCCTCATTCCAGGGCCAGACACCACAACCGGAGGATGACAACACTCCTCAGAAGCGTGTCGATAAGATCTTCGACCAGATGGACAAGAACCATGATGATCGCCTGACGTTGGAGGAGTTCCGTGAGGGCAGCAAGGCTGACCCCCGCATTGTCCAGGCTCTGTCCCTTGGAGGCGATTAATCGACGGTCATCCTCTCGCCGGACTTCACATTTACTTAGAGAGCTAATATCATTCCGCCGCTTGTGTCTATGTAATAATTTGTGTACTATTGTATATATAATACCCATGTATATCCTATATATTTTAAATATAGGTATTATGTAACCTATTATCTGTGTTAAGTCTTAGTATCTGCATAATTTGTCTGTATTCGTTTATATTTGCAGATCCGTGCTGTTTTTCTTCGACTTGAATCTAAAAAGATTAAATTATTTTAAGAAATTGTATCTAATTCTTATTTTACAAATGTAGGTAAAATTATGTGCATTAATTTTAATGAATGTATCGTAATATACATATTAATCTGTTGTAACATAGGCGACGGATGCATATTAATTAATTGTTATTTTTAGAAATATTTGCCAATATGAACACCAGGCCAGGGAGCGAGGCTTTATTTATTAATCATTCGGTACGACTGCGTACCTACATATTATAAATCAAAAACAATTTTTTTTTCTGTGCGATGCATTTTTTTTTAAGAATTGACGATGTGTACCCTAGTTTTCGAAGTTTGACATAAATTATCTACAATGAATATCTCAAGAATATTTTTGTATTTATTATATTTGTAACATAAATTGTTTGCTGATCCGCCTACTTCCGATGTTCTCACAGCTAACATAACAATAATACCTGAAGCTTCATTTTAATTTGCACATGTTTTAGCACTACTACTGATGCATTATAGGTTTTATTAATGAAAAGAAAAGACATTAAGTTCCTTTTAAAATTTAAAAACAAAATGCTATCATAAACAAAGGACAGATACATAATTTATTCAAATTTAGAACATTGAGTACTTATTTCGAATATAATAAGGAAAGGGAAATAAAAAATTCGCCAACAATTCATATTCGTGATTGGTGCGTACTTATCGCACGTATTGGAACATTTTTGTAAAATGATATCAATTTATTGACTTTGTTGTTGAAGAAACATTAAATGTGCACTACAAAGTGCTTTGTATTTCTATGTATCTAAATGTAATTAATGTGTTAATTAAACCTCGCCATCCGTTTCGTGTTGGCAAATTGAGTAGAGCTCTATCTGAAGTAAATGATGAAAAATTAAAACTTTTCACCTTCCTGAAGTTGAAACCCACAAGACATCCTAACCACATACAATTTTTAAAATTTAATCATATTATAGAACTATACTCATCCTTGAATGTGAGCTTTTGCTCCTTCATCCGTGCGAGAGAATGACCGGAGATACCACAGCCGGTTATCGTAAAAATCGTTGTTAGTGCACTAGGTAGATACACGATAATTTTCAATAAAACGATGATTCATTGTCAAACAATCGCCTAATCTTAACGTCATCAACAAAACTTACAGTACGAAATGAAAATGGTGTGAAAACAGACACGCCACGGCCCCAGCGGGTCGCGCTGCCGCCCGTGGCCCAGCGCCGCCCGCTGGCTTGATACTTAGCTGACTTTGGTCATTTATGGTTTCATCTGAACCTAACGTTAACCCTTTACTGTTGTTGTTGATAAATTGATAGTTTTTTAAGTGTTGCGCCCCATTAACGTTAAATTTGCAATATAAGACAATATAAAATTTTTGGCGAGTTTTTACTGCCCCATATTTACTTATAATATGAAATATTCTCATAAAATTTGAACGCAGATGTGGCAAAGCCATAAAACGAATTGTAACATTTTTTATCGAAAAGTTTTGCTCGTCTTAAAATTTTTAAAAACTACATTGAAAACGAGATTCAACATTTTTAAACTTATGAAAATAGTAAATTAAATGATAAAACTTAAGAATTAGGCGTTGATTTATTTTAAATACGTAGTAAATTGGAAAAGCAATTCGTTAGGAGTAAATGACAATTTCGGTCATGGGGAGGTGTGTGAAATTGTAATAAAAAGATAAAATAGTGTAAGTTAAAATATGATGTTAAAATATGATGATTGTTGAGACGAGCGCTGAGCGTCACTGCGACGTAAACCTTTCGGCGAGTTTTATCAGGAGGACATGTAATCTATTTACTTCACGACTATGTTTACAACAAGTTATCCATGTGTTTAGAGCAGTAGTAGGTGATGTAGTTTGTGTAATACATTTTATCTTTGAAATTATAGCACGATTGTAACGTTTTCAGTCGCCCGGTGTCGCCTCGGCGACATGTATTGCACTTTCCTTGGAGAGCACTTGTCTTTACATGTTAATCATTGCCAAATACTTACTTATTATAGTTTCTACCTGTATCTATTACACTCTCCCTTCAATGGGGATACTTACATGTCTCACACTATCCATCCTGTTTCTCATATTATGAGGTACAGTCACGTGCATAAATATGGATATTGCCAACACGTAAATTATGCTAATGTTATGGTAAACAAGTGGGCATACTTTCAGATATTATCTTACAAATGTATTGTACTGGTGGAAACCACCTTCTGCAATATTACTTAGTATAAACATATTTACACGCGTGGCTGGACCGACACATATTTTTTGGAGAACTTTTGGATATTTCCGTTTAGCGATTCTCAACGTAACGTACTTAATTGTTAAGAGTCTATTTATCGTGTAAGAAACTTACCTACAGCTTTATACGAAGTAAATTGTTATCTTTTGCTTATAAAATAAACTAAACTTCTTATGATATATGTAATGGATTTCTATATTACGACTAATATGAAGGTTTGGACTTTCGCGTTTCGTAAACTTTCTGCTATTTATTGGATCGCGTTGTCATGTTTGACATTTGAAACATTAGGTGGTACGGTAAGGTTAAATTGGTAGTTTTGAATCACGTGTCAATTTGTGTCTTTCAACAGTGTTTGTAGACGTTAAGATGCGTTTTTCAAACGAACTAGTGTAGGGAAATTGTCGCGGGCTGTGCATTTCGTATAGGTTAAGTAGCGGATTTCAAGTTGGACTGTTGAAAATGTATCTTACACCTGCAACACTTATTGACTTCACTTATTTTGTTTACTATCTAATGTCTCCAATATTCAAGATATTCCCAAATGGTACCTATCCTATCTTATATTTGTCACATAGTTATATACCACCGAGTTTATAATTCTACTATCTATCTTCTTAAGTTCAATTCGATCTATATGGATATGGATTGTTGTTCTCTATTTTACTAATTTATTTGTTTATTTGATTGACTTATAAAATTGTAAATGTGGGTGTTTACGTGACAAGGGCAGGTATAATGATCATGATTTCCTCACAGACAAATCTGTACATCACACTTGTTTGAAAGATTACGCAGGTACCTACACCCTGGCTTAAATTAAAACGCGAGACCTTTGGACTGACCGGGCATGTATAAACTTTACATAACCTATGGTATAATATTATCCTATCCTATAGGTAGGTACCTAAGCTAAATTTTTAATAATCATACTAAATATTCATACATAACTATGACAAAATAATATCTGTATGTTATATAGAAATAGTATTTTTCAGTAGCTATTTTCTGCTCCGATTGCATAACTTTTTTACTGCTTGATACTTCAACCTTCTGTAATGGCTTTTTGGGGAACAGGTAGGTATACGCCTTGCATGAACTACGTGGAACTGGGTCGCCGACTCTGAACAAGTAATACTTACTTAACGTCAAGCTTTTACCAACACCATCATAGTGTTATTCATAGAGAAAACATCACATTATGTACTTACCCTTACATGACCTTGGGTAACGTAAAAAGTCGAGCAAAACCTATTTACATTTAGATCCAGCACGGTAACTAAATCACATAACTAGAAATGTTTAACAAATCTTTTGACTATATTATAATACTCCAGAAACTTATTTTATTTACTTATATTAGTTTTAATTTAAATCTAGAACCTAGGTACCTATGTAAAATTTATTTTTATAACGAGGGCGCCTAATTGAAATTACTTGTGCCTGGCTAAGAGAGAAGTTATTAAATAAAAAAGTACCTAGGCATTTTAGATCACTATTCTATCACAGAGGAGCTTAGGTACACATTTTGGTACCCAAACACCTCATCTATCGTTTGTAACTTATATAAAACCTAGTGCTATGTTGAAAATATATTACCTACTCTTTCTTCGTATTTAATCGGAAAACATCTGTATTTTCTGGATTTTTCTAATTGTCGGCAGGTTATAACGATTCCGAATACTAATTACTCTAACCATTTAGGTTAATGGAATAAAGTTAATCTTATTTATTTGATTTCCTAATGGCGACAAGCTGGCTGAACTAATGAAGTGAAACGTGGTTATACATATGACAATGTCATAAGAATTGTAAGCTAAAATACAGCAGTGTAGTCGCCATCTACTGATTTGTAATCATACCTACTTATACCTGATAATACCTACTTATCCTCTTTGTCTGTAAATAGTAATTTATTATTCGCCTACTTTCATAGATATTATAATAATATTCACTTTTAATAATAATGATTAATAATAAACGAATTGAAATTAAATCCGTATTTCATTTACCTAAACATCCTTATCCCATTTACCTATCGTAAAGACCATACCTTGAAGAATACCTGGATACATAAACTTTAATATGATTTTCAATTTTATTATGCGAATCTACTAAACCTGGGACGTACCGAGACAAAAATACATGATATTTCAGTGCAAATATTAGGTACCTCTACACTATAACTGGAATCTCAATATCGTCCCCAGTGATCGTCACACATCTGCTCATAGGCCCACTGCTGAACAAAGGCCTCCTCTCACACGTACAAGGTAGCCGGTTGCAGGAAAGGCGCAATGTGGCTCTGCGGCCTAGGCCTAAAGCAGGAGAAGGTACGAGGCGTCTTCGTCAGTAAGTGTAGTAACACTCTCTATCGCCTTACCCTGGGCAGGAGAAGTCATTTGATGATTTTCCCCTGACAAAAAAAAACACGAACAAAGTAGTTGAGCATTATCTAATCACTACGCTTGCTCAAAAACTTATAATTTAATTTTTACATTATTTTTCCTTGTGCACCGTTTGTCTAAATAAACTTAGAAAGTGGGTAGGTGCATAAAATTCGGCAAATGAGTCCTGCAGTGGTCACGCAAAAAATATGATTGACAAGGTCAAAGTCCAATAAATCATTGATGCAGAACAGAACTAATTAGACGTAGGTAACAGTTTTGAGGGTGATTTGAATCACCCTTGATTAATTTGCGTTTACATTATTTTCATATACGTACCTACATATATGTAGGTGACATATTTTTTACGGTTTGTATGAAAGAAAATTACGGAAAAGTTGAGGATAAAATTGGGAAAAATCAACCCTAGGCAATTGGACACCCGTGCAAAGACAGGAGAGGCTGCTTGTTTTTTCTTAATTACTTACGAAGAAGTTAAAAGGACTTCATGCCATCATAGTAAAATTTTGTTCCGTTATAATCTATGGGTAAGTAATTGAAATGAACAAAGCCGACAGGAATAAACGAAATGGTTACCATTAATAAAAATTGACCAGGGACATAAAGTAGGACGGCAGGTTATGGCAAAACCGGTTTTAAAAAAAAGAATAAGCGATGGTTTTATTTCATAAAGGTATCGGTAATTTATATTTGAAATGTAGTAGGTAAGGCAACAAGGAAAAAATTGTGGACTAGTAAGTCCACATAAAAATAATTATATTTTCAAAGAAATTGTCATCGTTTTGGTTTGTATTTTTATGGGTGTTATGGGTGGAAAAATAAAATGACGGTAAATGTATATTTCCAATTTATTTATCTTGTCAATAAACATAACAACTTTCAATTAATCATACAACTCAATAAGAAATAATACGATAGGCGCCAAAATAGCAGCTAAACGTGTGCTTTGTCCGATAATTATTTTTTTCAACAAAACACAATAATTAAATTGAAATAATAACAAAATCATTCAAAACTTACAATCACGTTACCTAAATTATTTGAAATCAGATTATTACAATTTAACGAGATTTTACCTTCGCAACAATTCAATCATTGGCATTAACATCGTGATTTGCAACATATTTTTTTTTTTGCAAATACGCTTCAATCGATTCCTGTAAGACAGTGCTATGACATAAGGTATTTAAAACCTGGTTAGGTATGTTAACGCGAAACGTTATGGCGTTAAGACCTCTGATTGGTTGATTTAATTGAACAGGCCAATCAGAGCGCTCAACTTTGTAAATGTGCCCATCGCTTTAACGTAAAGGTAACTGACACTGGACATTCTGTATTAGACTAATTTATTTCAATGATATATCTCGACGAGCATGTAGTTTTAGACATCCACCGCCTTTACTTGTCTATTATGACCCCTACCAGGCTAAAATGCCAATAACTCTCTTCGTTTCCTAGGAAGTCCAGGGCTTAAATACCTTTTCTTTTCTGTTTATACGCTTAGTAAAAGTGGTACTTAATGGGAGAATAGAAACTTTCGTTACAAACCTATATTCTTTCCTTTGTAATTCCCAGCTCCGCTAGCTTAAACTTAGAGCAACTAGAGGCAGTAGGTACTTTTTGAATGGCTTAAACTTACACGTACATATTACATTATTTTCGTGTAATTTTAAGTTAGGTATTCAAAAAGTACGAAAATAGTGTTTAATACATGATATGACATGACAAGTCGATTACATTAGGAGTTCAAACTTGATTGTCGTTCAAAGTTTTTTTTTTTGTAAATTACAAAATAAAACTTAGATGTTTTGTCTAATTTTCGATTGGGCACAATAATGTCTTGATCTTAATTATTATTGCAGTATTTCATTATAATAAGTTTGTGAAGAGTTACTTTGCCTGGAAGGTATACCGTTTATTTAATAGCACTCCTTTTTTGGGCAGTGTTGTGTAAATAGAAACCCGTTCTTTCGTTATAATTTTGAAGTTACTTTATATTTTATTGTTCTGAATTTAAATTGCTACAAATTTACAGACGTTACCCAAATCGCCAAAATTATAAAAATCATTTATTTGAGTGTTCTATGTGAAAGTAAAATAAAGAAATAAATAATGTGAACTTCGTGCATAGGTTGGTTGTAGTCTAAGTTTGTCGACATCACTAATATATTTTATATAGGAAATATTATAGGAATTCTGTCCATAACTGCTCCACTAGATATCTAGTACTATAGTGGACAGTCGTTCAAGACAATATAATTAACTAACAAAAAAGACAGACTAGACTTTTAGGAAGCCACTAAAGAAGCAAAAATTACGTAATGAAATCGGTGGTAAAACGGGGCAAATATTGAATCCGACAATATTTTCCTTTACAACACCATTTTATTTCTACGGCACTTTTATTATAATCATCACCTAATAACATATAAATAACTATAATAAAATTTCAGGAAAATCTTAGTAAAATAGCACGGTAGTCACAAATTCATGATCCGTCTCGCGGACTTTCTACTTATCGAATAAATTTCCTATAATTACAGATTATTATTGATATAAATGACATTCCCATATTTAAGTACTTAATACAAGATGTTTGAAAGGTCAATGCAAAAAAGGCAAAATGAAATTGAGGTCACATATTGTAAACAATGGTCAGCACATTAAGGATATAATTTCTCAATTAATTTGGTATAGAGTTATTATCTTAATAAATAATACCATTGACAAGAAAACCTGTTTAATTCGCTCTATGGTCAAGCCACAAAATTGTTTTAATATCTGTTGAAAATAGATGCTTGAATTTTTTTTTATTCGAATCAGCATAATTAAAAAGTAGTTTTATTTATTGTCTTCTTTAGTTTCCTAATTAAGGATATGGTTTAACATGACCTTCCAAACATTATGTATATCTCTTATTTAGAATATAGGTACAAAAGATAAGCCATTTTAAGTATATCCAACTCGCTTGAATTTAACATTAACTTCAAAAAGTAATATATTCTTTAATTTATTTATAACATTATAATTATGTGTTTTAGAATATTTAGAAATTGCTATGTTATTGCTATGATGTATGTGATGTTTTACAATCTGCGATCATTTTATCACATGTATTGAGTATTTCTAATTAAATAAGTATCTAATTGTGTATTTACAAGTTTATTAGTTTTGGCCATAGACTAATTTATAGTCTATGGTTGGACTGAACTACTAGAGTTCAGTACGACCCGTATTTATTGTTTTGTGAGCTAATTTATATTACTTTTCGTCCATTTCCACTACTTTAGGCATCAGATTAGTATTATGTTGCATATCTGAATAAAATCACGACTAATTTCTTTGTATCTCATTAATCAATTAATCAATATATCAAATCCTAATAGATATGGACCATACAAATTATATATTACTCATACAAAATCTATTCATCAAATTATCTGTTTTTTTTTATTATATACCATAACATCAACAATATTTTTTTACAGGAACGCCTATTATTTTCATTGTATTGGTTAAATCCTCAAATACTACAAATGTAATGTTCCTTGATAATATGTCTAACCCAAATATTAACATTGAACCATTGATCACTATTAGAAACCAAAAACTTGTTGTGTGCAACTGCAAACCCTACCTACAATTGAATTTAAATATGATCAATAACCTCAAGTGACTTCTACGATAAATTACATAGTACCACTAGGACTATTTTGCACCAAACATCAGATTATACTTAAATGAAATATCTAATAAAATGTTTATAAAATTATTTTGGATGGTAGATAAATCGGGACAACCTATGGTTACGTAATATAGAAGCAACTTCATAATAAAGTAATATACAGAATATCGTTAAATATAAATGCACCAATTTATATTGACTACTTCAAATATTTTATATTGACTATTTTTGTAAAATTTAATAAATTACTTAAATTTAAAGGCGCCAGCGACAATAATTAAAAACATAAATTACTACTGATCATAAATACACAAACACACACACAAATATATTTTGTATACTAAAATAATCTTAGTTTTAATGTAAATAGGCAAAACATTGCATTTTGGTTAACATGTCACCGAGACGCCACGATAGCGCGTGAAGAAGGCACTCGCTGTTTTGGGTCACGGCCTCTCAAACTCTAATTCAAAGCTTTTCTTTCAATAAATCATACAGGCACTTTTAAACGTCGAAATAAAGTAATTATCCTTCGTTCTGTCCGCTATATCCGTAAATTTAGTTAACTCGTTCCAATTTCTACTTGTGCAGCGGAGAACAAGCAAGAAACTCCAATCGTATATGTATATTGCTTACAGCTACAACCATTATGAAATTGACTTAACTTTTTTGCTTTTGGAGCACTGAATATTCACACTAATGCGGCGTCTCGATAAAATACAACCGAAAAAAGGCACAAAACTTCGTTTCAACGTTATGATGGACATTGTCTAAGATATTCAGGATCAAAGTAAGCGACGGTGACCGTCATGTCGTCCCTGAACGAGCGACTGATGTCGGGTGACAGCGTGAGCAGGTGCGCCAGTCGCGAGTGGTCCACTCCATACTCCGTGCCTCCGATGGCGTGACGAATAAGATGAGTCGCAGCATTTTTATCTTTAGGTTTACTTTTCAAACTTTCCTTTCTGTGCGTCAAAAGTTCGTCAATAGCTCCTAGTTGAATATTTTTTTTCGGCAAACTTAATGGATTAAAAAACACTTTTCCTTTCATGTGTTCACCAACCAATTTGACAGCTTGCAACGGAGTCATCATGTCCCAAAGACCATCCGAAGCTATTATTAAAAAGTTATCTTTAGGTGTCAGTCGATGGTAGTAAATATCAGGCTTTGCTGTTAGATATGGGGGAGTGAAATAGTTGGGAGGTATTGCCCTGGGACCCATGAATGGCGTGGCCAATTTTTCGAGAAGCTCAGCCGGCCACTTGTATCTGTAGTCACCTATGCTACGAAGAGGTGCTAACTCTCCAAGCAACCTATCCCTTCTTATCACAGTCTTTCTTTCACTATCAGGATGTTCATTCCAGATTCGTTTGAGTTCATCGAAGTTTTCAGCATTGTGCTCTTTGGTTATCTTTTTGGCAATCCATTCATTTTCGTCTGTCATGGTGCCCAGCACAGCATTGCAGTCCCCGACATTAGCAACGTAGAGATGCGGACCATCGATGTGGGCGACGCATGCTACTGCCCCAGACAGAGCAACAGATAAGACTTTATAATTCACTTCACCATTCAACTTGTAGGCATCAATCACTTCCTTCGACAAGTCACTATCTAATCTCATTATTGCTTTTTCTAATGAAGCCTGGACAGTTGTTTCCCTAGGTTCAGCTACAAGATCCGACAAATATTGTTTGAAACTATGACGATATTTATCCTTTAAATATTCCACCATTTGCATCTGAAATTCGTGACAAATTGGGCCTTGTTTAAAATAGTACTCATGATAGTCAAATTAAATGTAACACTGGTGACACTGATAGATGACATTTGCTCAACAAACAAAAGAATTCAGTTCAGTTATGGTGACTTAGCTAGAGCTTGCATGACACAGCACATTTCGCAATGTTAGACATGGTGGTCGCATTAGCATGACAATGATAACAAATAATAATTGAGAAGCATACAAACAATGGATGCATAGTATGATCAAGTTGTACCTTATCATTAAAAGTTTCCACCAATTTCTCTGGTGTCATGTCACCCTCTCGGAACTTGTTAAGAACATCTGCTGGTAGGAGTGCAGCTGCTATGTAGTTAAACAGTCGCTTTGACACCACCTGAGCGCATTGTGGCCCACCATGTCCATCAAATATACCCAGGAGCATCCCTGTAATAGATTTATAAACAATATTAATTGATACAAAACCAACTAATATAACCAAGTAATACAGAAGAACAAGAAGAAGAAGAAGAGTAGAGAAAAATAGTAATATGTATTATTTTATGTCTGCTATATAAATAGTTGTCAAATATAATGAAAAATAGTCAAACAATATTTTTCATAACTTTGTTTTTATATCAAAAGTCAAGATGAATCATATGAAGGTGTTAATAAAAAGCAGAGCTTGCGACATATATGTTGCTTTCTCAGCACACAAGAAGTACTTGTCTTAAATGCCCCAAACTTTTTAATGGGCCACCTTTGGGATATATACTACTACTATACCCTGTTGCACCCCCCAGCAACCTGGTGTCATAGGTGCACTTAATAATAATAATTCAGATCTCTTTTATATTTACCTGGGGACATTGTGCAAACTCCTTCAGCTCTGGTATCTTCAATAGGGTCATTTGAAGCAAGCTGATTGGAGTCATATGATTTAATTGAACCTTTCGTGAATTCTTTGTTGAATTCATTTTTCCGCAGAATAAAAGTGACCTGAAAAATAGGAATAACCATCAATATAATTTTTGTGAATAATGACTGTTTCTGTAACACAAAATCTGCTGCATAGGTATGAATATAATTTTTTCATACCTTTTTACAATAAAGGTTGATTACTTGACTTCAATAATATATTTTTGAAATGAAAAATTGGGTATCAAGTATGCAATTAAAAATCATATAATATGCAAGAAAACTATGTTTTTGTAATAATTAAACATTCCATAATTAAAATATAATAAACTATACATCTCTCTTTGCAAAGGTTCTAAAAATCACGAAACTTGTGAATTATGTGGGTCCAGGAATTACACCATACTTATTAAATATTATGTAAGTGGTGCAAGAAGATGCATATACACTAAATAAAATACAAGTGAGTATGTATGGAGGTAACACTGACAATACATTATTACAGAAATTTGAAAATTAATCGAGAAGACTACTGCTTCTGTCATCGACAAAACATTAACAATGATAACAGGTCTATTAAGTATAAGGGATCATAAGTACTTTTAACTTCATTACATCAATTATAAAATGTTGAGACATGAAAATAAAATGTCTAAAATCTAAAGGCAACAGGCCTTTACTTAGTCTTTTAAATAAGTTGAGTAACTCAAACCACAAATGTGCTCTACAGAATGACTGCAGAATTTTTCTTAAACAAAGTATATATTTACTTACTTCTTGCGGCGATGGGATGACTGTTATATCTTTAAGTGCATATTCAGTGTCTGTTACGCTAAAATAGCTATAGCATGTAGTTTTAAAGTTTCGTTGCTGATCGGCAGGTTTACTTTGATTCAGATGAAGGTTACTGAACAATACTTTATTCTTAATTTTCAGATCTAATTTCATACACGTGTTTAGCAAAAACTTTGCATACAAACTATTCATATTTACGCGAAAATGACAAACCAAAGTAGCCGGGGATCACGACCATGTTATGCAAGCATTACAAATTTCAATATTTAATTACAATCGTATTATTACAACCTATTATAACACTTATACATACAAACATATGCTCATAAGATAATTATGCTGTTCTGAATATATTCACTGCGCATTTTCAATACCTATCAATTTTAGGTAAAGGAATAAAAATAATTTGAAATAAATAAACCTCACTGACATTACATTTCATTTCAACAATCAACCTCTAAGGCTCAAACCTCATCGGAGGTGAATTGAGAAATCGCATCCGCTATAAAAATTAAAAACTAATTCTGAATTCTCGACTCTAGTGAACAAAAGTTTATCAATTTTGTCATGCAACAACACGTGCCGTTTTATTGAATGAAAATATGTTTGTAAAATCGACTAATTACTACTGTGTTGCAATACGGCGTTACCAACTGTCACTGCTGTCAGCCATCAAAAATATGACATTTGCAGTTATCAAAATTTTGAGTATATAGTTTTGGAGTACCATCTTATAAAATATAATTGATGAAGAGAAACCATCGACCACCTTGTATAATAATGTTTGGGTATATTTAATAAATCACAAACATATATAAGTCTTAAAATTGCATACATTTAAGCTAAATAATATAATTATTACTATGGATATGGAACTAAATTAAAATTAAAGAGAATTATTTTTTCAAACTTAGTTATAATATTTAAACAACCTCAAAAACACATCTTTAGTCATATGACCTAACAATGGCTAAATCCAAACAATGCCCAGTTGCAAGCGGAACGTAAAGAAGTCGGTTGTACGTTATTTTTTGTGATGAGTAAATTATCAAATGACTTTTCCCACCCAGGGTCGGACGGGAGTGTCAGACGCTTACTGACTAAAAACCTGTTTCCTTTCCTTTCCTTTCCTGCTCTGGGCCGTGGTCACGGTACCTCATTGCGCATACCCCGCAACCCCGGCTAAACATCAGCCCTATAGGACCCCGTCTGTGGTGGTCTATTGGCTCTTTGAGGCGCGCGCGGAACGCTACGTGCCGTACTCTCGGGTCTGGTTATAATCGGGCGGCGAGCTACCCATACACGCCGTCCGCAGAACCGCGCTTACAGTGGCCGTAAATCATCTCTCGATCCCCGACGCCCGGAATTTCTGGAGCGCAAGGTGGATAGTTCCTTCACACGCTCGGCCTCCTCCTTTGCGAGCATCACTGTTTCGCAGAAAGAGGATACGACTTCCCAGTTCCTCATGCTAAAACCATGGCCTCGACTAAGGCCGGGCGCGAGAGGTCGCCGCCGCCGATCACTTCGATGAGGACACGGCGGTGCTCAGCCCAAGCAGGGTACACCGCCACCGTATGCTCCACCATGTCCTCTTGGTGGTTCTCACAATGTTGACACTCGGGCGTTTCCTCCCGCTGGATCCGAACACTCCTCAAAGAGGGGTCTTACCGCTGCTATAACGGCGTGCCCGGCCCCCGGTTGCGACAGTAAGTCGGTTGTACGTTGGTGCAACTTCTTGGTCCGATCTCTCGTTTCAAAAATCACTTTACCGGCTTGACAACTTTCACTTGTCTATGACAGCTCCATAGTATTGCCAACACAATTCGAATACACCCAAGTCGGTGTTGAATTGACGCTACGTCTCACTCTCCGAGATACCAATCTTATCCTGTCCTACCGTATTTTTTTTATCATATATTCTAGTGCTTGTCTACTATTCCACCTGATAGCAATCGTTGATAGTAAGGCGCACTAGTTTATAGTTATAGTAAGACCTTTTCAAGCTGTTCCAATCCTTGATGTGCTTAGTATAAACGACGAAGCGAAACGCTTAGACCGGATTTCTACCAGTTTTCTAGTTGCTACCTCGACGTCACTCAATAAACCGCCTATGGTTTAAGTTATAGGAGATTTCAATTCCAAAGAGCTGGATGCTATCAAGGTTGGTCACGGGCAGGGACCGCAGTATTTCCATAGTTGTCATTTATCAGTCCATATGATTTTCTACCATATTGCTCATTAGTCCTGCATCAACCGGGGATTGTTCTTGGCCGCACCTTTATAGTGCATATACAGCGATAATTGCCGACTAATGTCCCATCACATTTTGATTAAAACTGATCAACGGGCTTCGGCGCCTCGTACGTCTTCAAAAGGTCCGGGATCCTGCGGTCCCATAAAATGAAAATTACGATTAATTACGAATTATTCATTTATTTTATTATGGAATTAATTTAATTTACAAACGCATAATTTTGAGGATGTTGATTAGCTCGTAACTAGCTAATGTATAAGACCTACTACCTATATCAATAACTTGTAACCACTTTGTATACATAAGCTATGAGCTCACCTTATCATAACAATTAAATAAATAAACATAAAATTAAAAGTAAAACGTATCATTTTAACAGCCACCGAAAAACATCATACATGATTACTTACTTAGTACTCCAATAGTGTTATACTCCATGAATCGCTGGCTTGCAGGCCTCCATGACGCTGTCATTCAATTACCTTTGTCAGTTGTCAATGTCGAAGATTGTCAATAGGATAGGGCTGCGAAATGAATGTTGCCATGCATACTTATTCTACCTTGCAAGTTGTCTATGTACAGAGAGCCAAATTATACTCTTATCGTTCTTTCTACATGGAAATTCAAAATTTTAACCTAATTAATGAATCAACTGTAGATAATTCTCAATTTAGAAGGCGCTAATCTATTACCCATGTTGTACCCTATATCTCACTTAGTCCATTATCATTAGCTATAGATCTCCGTTACCCTTCCTATAGAAATGTAAAAAGAAACAAATCTTGTTATTTCTAAATATTAAAAATTCATGTTAAAGGCCATAGCCATAACAATGTCTCTGATGATCCAGAATAAAATATAAGAAAGAAAGAACAATTTAAATAATTTATGGTAAGTAATCGATTTTTAATAATCAATAATCAATGTTATATCAACAAAAATAAATAAATTGCAGTTCCTATAATTTATAAATCTATTTGTAAAGGTCGCAATTCCCAATGATTACTAAAATACTTGTACTGATTTACAAAAGTACAAAACACGGAATAGAAAAATGCGCGCGCATCGTTTTTGATAAGTAAATATATGTACAATTAATAGTGTCACAAAATATCAAGTTAATAATATAGTTATGTATGGAGGTATTCATAAATCCATAAAAGAGCCTATTTTCTAACATCTCATTGTGATAACATATTTTGATAATTTTGACTGATAAAAAAATATTTTTAGTTATACAAATAGTCATTATTTATAATAGCAAAAATAATCATTAGTTTGCAACATATAGATTGAAGAATAGACGCTGAGAAAAAAGAAAGAGAACGCATGCGCACTGCGCATGTCGAATTCGTCATTCATCGTTCGTTCGCTTTGGTCGACATCGCGGAACGGTCATTTTTCCGTGATCTGCATTTTTTTGCCAACGAGATACTAAACTTATAATAAAACAAAATGCCCAACCAGGTGTTAACTATAGAGCCTCAAAACGAACTAAAATTTAAGGGTGAGTACTCAATCTCTTTATTTTGCGCAAACTGTAAACCGCCGCATTGAAACTTGGGTAGCATACATAGGTCGTGAGCTAGCTGCTGACAAATGGAGTTTCTATTTCCAGATATCGGCGTTTTGTCAGGGTGCGGTTTTTTACATTTTCCTTATAATTAGATACGAATCACGCAAATAAACTCTTAATTACCTGTATTAGGTGGTGTTCTTAGAGTGATCATTCGGAAAATCGGTTTTCACACGTAAATGTTACCTACATGGATATGGTTGAGTCGCAAAGAAACTTAGCGTACCGACCAGTTGTAAGGTTCCGTTCACGTAACTTGAATCATTATTTTGTTACAATTTGCATGTAATTAGTCTGGGTCTATGATTAAACTGATTATTGCCAAGACATTTATCACATATGTCTACATCGACGAAGTCGTAATTGCAAAATCCGAACTACCTAAATGTCGAACACCAATCTGCATCATGAAATGACACATTGCTAATGCTACTACTGTTCATAAAAAAGTACTCAGAAATTGCGACAGTTACTTATAACAAAAATTAATTTGTGATTTGTAACTAATGTAAATAACATGATAGGTAGGTACTTATTGTTCTTGAAATGGCAAGATTTAGTACTTGAATTTCATTGCCTCTCCATTCAAAATAAAATGTACCTAAAGTTTAATAGATTCTTAATGTTAATAGTGATATAGATTTGATAATTTATTATAATTTAAAATCTATTCCACATTCTAAGAAAAAGACAACAGTAGAGAGTACAGTCAATAGTAATATACTGAATATTATCTACATAAATATTGTGTGGGATGTTTTCTTTCCAACCAGTGAACCATCAATAGACAAAACAGTTCATTTAATGTTGTTAATGAGTCCAAACCACAGTCACATGCATAACTAGCTATAGAATATGTATAGTTTTAGACTGTTATAAGTAACAATAACATCAGTTGAAACATTTTTTAAATATTATTGCAACACAAACAACACAACTTCTTGCACAACCCTCAAGTCTTTAGTTTAGGGGAAAAATATGTCATACACAATTTTTTTTGTTTTGTTTAGCAATGAACATTTAAGGTACATTCACTTTATAATATAAGGTATTTATTTTCGTTTTTTTATAGGTTCTAGTTGTAAGCCTTTAACTTTTCAATCATTGTAGTCCGAGACACAATAGTAAGACAGTAGGTGCGCGACCACTTCATTTGTGGTTTGATGAATTAATTAATTGATTGATAACTGCTAATACTTAAATATAGTTGAAAATTGTTAATGTATTTTGTTCTGTTGATATGTTCTTCATGTAAATAAATGACTAATCAGGTTTAAGTTTCATAGTAATTTAAGCCTAGTTTGTTTTAAAACAACTGCTCATTTTGAGGTACATACAATAAATTTAATTTACTATATTAACTTTGATTGCACATTCTTTAATACCAAAATATGATTTAAACGGAAAGTTTTTGTATATTGTAGTTTTTTTTTAATATACATAGGCATATGATTATTTTGAAGTGCCCAAAACAATATTTTAGTGCGACAATAGTTAGCCATATCTTTTTCTAATACTGCTATACATGTTATACATGTTCTTAATTTGTTTGTTATAAGCCAGTATTGTAAGTGAAAAGCCAAGTTCGAAAAGAGGTACTCATACTTACTATTCAATTATGTATGTGCATAGAAATAAATATCTATGTATAAATTATACCACATAACCAACAGATGTAAAGTGTTGCTGCATTTCTGTGAACATTCCGGTTACAGACTTGCTGTAAATGAAATTATTTTATATTTTGAGAACAACTTTTAAATAATTTGTAATTTCATAGAACCTTTCTCACCTGTTTCACCACCTTTATGTCATTTCCTGGTAAGGTTTTTGTGGCACATAGTTCAGGCAAATTACAATCTATATTCAAATTTATAGTGGCTATTCAGGCATTGTCAAAATTACCACTTATATTTCAACTTGTACTTGATGAACTATTGTTGATTAAAATAATTTGTGATTATCTTAGGAAAGTTATCAGCTTGCAACAACTGTTATAAATGAAAGAATAGTTTTCTATCGCTTGATCTGATTACTTGAGTTAAATGACCCTGGTGGAATAAAGGCAGAAATATTTCAAATATTCTGATTATTCAAGATTCTTTTCTTATTTACCCTCCATTCTTTTACCAACATTATTATTTATTATTTCCACCTCCCTTTGTTTTAGAAGTTTATACTATAAGATTGTTAGTAAGACATATAATTATAATAAAAATCACAGTAATTTGTAACTAACAACTGGAGATTATTAAAAAAAAAATGAAATTGAAACTAAGCAAATTAATTAATGTAATCGAAAATGTCGATTAAATTAGAATTCACTAGCATAGCAAAGGAAATGTAAATACAGTTTATAACTAGATATGCAAATTAAAAGATAATGAAAACAAGGATGTTAACAGGAAACATCTATTTAGTAATTTAAGTTTCACATAGCAAATATCAGGCACATATTTGGCTAAAGTGACACATGTTACCGGTTGCAGATATACAAGCAGTTGTTTCGTACAGGATTCGAACTCGTGACACGTTGTCTGCATATAACCGATTGCTTTACCACTAGCTACATGGTGCAAACAACAAAGTATCTAGCCATATTCATGTTAGCGCGAAAGTTATAGCTTAGTGTGGTATAGTTAAATTGATAAATAACTTTTATAATAATGTATATCACACTATAAAGTATATTAAGAATATACTTATTATTCACTTAAAATGTGATACACATTCTAAATTGCTTTCAATTAATGAAGTACCAAACCCGATCCTATTAAAATAATAGCATTTTATTCAACATTTTCAATAAACCATTAGGTTTATTGTTCATTAGGTCATTTAGCTATCGAAGCTTTGACTCGATAAACGATGACGTCATGTACGAGTACATAGAATATGAAATACCTACTTGATTTTAATGAGCCTGATTATAGTTACCTGCATATTGGATCTACTATTTCAAAACTACCCATGATTTGTTGGTAATTTTTTCCTATATTGAGGTAAAAACGTAGGTTGACCGCATTTCTTGGGTTATTTAATTCATGGTTTCTTTCTTTTGTTATGAAAACATCTGTGTGACATAATTTAGTAGAACTACTGTAGTGATCAAATAAACTTGACTCGTTGTCTCAATACTCAACTATTACTAATATACTACATGACGTATTTCTCCCTATTGTTTTGAAAAGGTATTGCTCACTTACCTCGTTTGTGAAATTTACAACTTTAGGTAAAAAACCGTATGGCGGTTCTGTCTAATATAAATTATGGTATAGTTGTTATCTTGTTCAGTTTACTTTAAGATTGTATGGTTTTCGAAATTTTGTTTTAAAGAACATTCCTTCAAGAATTTTATTTTATTAGTAGTTAGTTTGTTAATGATATTAGGCAAATACATGTTATGCCATTGGCATAACTGTTGCCATTTGTACATGCCCTGAAAGATATAGCCATTATTATTGATTATTTTAGTTGATTATTCAGGACTCTTCGAGTCAGGATGCACCACGTACATGCGATTGACAAATCCATCAAATGATACAGTACTCTTCAAGATAAAAACTACTGCACCAAAGAAGTACTGTGTACGTCCTAATTCTGGCGTGCTTGACCCAAACTCTAAAGTGGAAATAGCGAGTAAGTATTGTTTTCTTTCATTTTATAGTGTAACATAGTATGTATAATGCCAAATGTATTTGTGTTAGATGGACAGTAATGTATTGATTACTTTCAGTTACTCCACAGCCTGTGTATGTGGATCCCAATGAGAAACATAAACATAAGTTTATGGTTCAAAGTGTGGTCGCTCCGGAGGGAAAGACCAATATTGATCAAGTGGTAAGTAACATGAAAATGAAATTACTGTTACGAGTCTAAGAGTGATACTACACGATGGCAGTATATAGTTGAGACATTTTATAATATTGTATATTTCATTTCAGTGGAAGGAAATCAGCCCAGATCAGTTGATGGACTGCAAGTTGAAGTGCGTCTTTGAATCTCCTCGTGGAACTAACTTGAATGTAAGTTATTATTTCATATTAAATTAGTGCTTATGTTATTCAAGTTTGACATTGACAATAAATGAATACTGAATTGGAATGTATTTGCAGGATGCTGGTGACAATGTCGCTCAGAATGAAGTGACCAAGAAACGTGTCGCGGTGGCAGATGAGGCAAAGTCGTCGACAAAGGTAATTCCACTTATAGTTGCCACTTTAAGAAGTTGTTGTTGGCCGTATCCCGTCTACATCTATCTCGTAGCACGGGATCTGCGCACGAGACTAATGTATGTTCCCTTTTACGTTTTGTTGTTTGTGAGCTTTTTCAATTTTCATTTGCCCTTTCGCCAATCAGCCACGTAGTGTTGCGACTAACGCTCAGTGTAGTTATTGCATTACTTGTAGACATTAAGATAATCACGTCGTACCGTTAGATATTTGGAATATGTATTTACTGTATCGACATTGGATAAAATTAGTCCAAGCTTGGCATGTTATTTAAATTATCTTACAGGATGCCGTAGAAGGTCTTATCCAGAACGAAGCAAAGCGGAAGGATGATGATCACACTACGGGCGTGAAAACGGTACCCTATAATCATTTTTTTTTCTAAAGTATGGGTTCTCGACATTTTTTGTAATTCTTATAACAGTAATTTCGCTTTGTTTGCGCTGAAAATGTATAAACAAAAAATATACAAAGCGCACGTCACTGATATTCAAGGTAAAATTATCAAGGAAATTGTATTTTTTTTCCATAAGATACTTAGTAAGCATTAGCACTGCAAGGATTTGTTGCTATATAATTAAAACACTGTCTTCACCCAGCGGCTTCACCCGCTTTCCCGGGTAAAAACACCTCATTGTGTTATTCCAGGCTATAAATGTATCTTTTTATGAAATTTCATCCAAATTTGTTCTAGTTTTTTTCGCGAAAGAGCAACAAATGTCCTTCTTTACTTGCAAAGTTTCACGTTTATAATATTATAGATTTAGTTGGATAGATTAGCTGAGTCCATTAGCTTAGCGTATCTTGTGTATAAATACTTCCGAAACATCCTTGACATCACATTATCCACACCAACACACTGTATGTTTAATACTTTTCCTTTAACTGCATGTTTATTATTTATTTGCCAATATTTGTGAAAAAAGCTCTTCGTGAATATTTAATAATACGTTGTTAAATTGCGTGAGTTTAATTATATATTTGTTTGTTGTTATATTTTCAGACTTTGACTTTCCCCAAGCCTGAGAACGCAGATACTGATTTGCAAAAGGCGACCTTAGAAGTTATTCTTTTGAGGGAGGAAGAAAGCAAATTAAGACATGAAAATCTGCAATTAAAAGTAAGTTTTTTGTTAACATATATCTCTTTTCGCGAAAAGAACATGTTTGTAAAGTCATAAAAATGCAAAATCTTTTCCTTTACCAATTTTGCCAATTTATATTTAGTCTTGTAACTGCCATTTTGCGAATGTACCTTATGAGTATTGTGCGAACTATATTCATAACTAAGATGCCTTAATTTAACAGCTAAGGAATATTATTTTATTTCCCTCTCGCATAATTTACCCCCTTTGAAACCAGTTATATTAATAATCCCATTCCAGTAGGTAACAAGTCATTTAACAATAATTATTATGCAGAAATTTGTAATCATAATCTCAATAATTGGCTCCATTAGCTTCTCGTAACTAACGTGGCATTAGTTCAAGAAAGTTGTTATTATTATATACATATATTAAGCACAATTTCCAAAATGACTCTGGTATTAATTAAAAAAATGCGTAGCGTTTGACCAATTGCACTATTGCAAGATTCCTTTGATGTAGTAGATATATGGTGAATGATATTGAAGTGGATGACAATTCACCTAGTACGTGAGATCTTGAAGATCTTACAAATATGAAAGGTGTTTATACTTTGGGTATACAACCAGCAGGTCTTCACGTGCCATTGAGACTTGCTCCACGACTACTAAAAATATGTCAACAGGAATATTAAAATATATGATTGTTCTAAAACAGTTTTGTGATATTCAAGTCGTCTGATTCATATGTACAGTTAAGCGATTGCTTTTTTGTTTAGTGTCCATGTTGCAACTTGCGAGTTTTGTGTAATAAACATTTGCTGTTGTTTCAGTACACATCCTTCAAACTTGTGTTATTTTATAGCTCTTCAGTCAACCAATGAACCTTCAATACTTTGTAATATGATTGTATGTATATAATTGAAATATGCACAAATGTGTTGTTTGTAAAAAGAATATAAAAAAAAATACAATTATTAACATCAATTATTCGTTAATTACAATATCAGTGTTTTTTAATTGTGATGTCAGTACGGATATTTATTTTCATCGCTTTAGCCTACTATGATATTAGTCTTATACATTAAATTACATGGCTGCGACTGGGCAACCGGCCACTGCAACGTGGCTTGGGTTCGAATCCTACTTGAAATGATCCTTTGTGTGATCCACAAATTGTTGTTTGGCAACTAGGTAAAATTGAGTTTAAAAAGATGAAATATTTTAGATCACCGCCCTTAAAATATGATAGCTCCTACACACTATGTTAGCGACATACCGACTGCGTGTTGCCTGCTTTTTGACGGATGTGTCAGCTGTCAATATTCACTGTTTCATACATTTTTCGTTGGGGTGGCAAGTTGCTCGGCTACAAGCATAGTCTGCAGGAGACTACTCTTACCTACCTATAAAAAATGCTTCGAAAAGTCTAAGATGATGAAAGATATGATTATCTTTTATCAATCAAAACAATCGAGTTATCAAATATCGGTGTAAGGAAGTTTCAGAATTCAAAGAACAATTATTTTCTTCTCAATTTTTATTTAAGTTGCTTAGCGAAAGTGATGCCTTCTTGATAAAGGCGCTAAATAAAATTTGACCCAAAAAGACTAAAAAGTATAGAATATTTGTTGACTGCTCACAATACGAAAACCACCCTAAATAATATAACATCAATAAGAAGACATTGTTTTCATTGACGTTTATTTGCGAAAACTATACAAGTTTTTATTTTGTGCTATTGCGATTGTAGATTGGCGTAATTATGATCGCGTTCGCAATTTTTAGAAAATCAACTCGTCCAGCTACGTATGTGTGTATATGTTGTGCAAGCTAACACAGGAAAGGGTTTAATACGATGTATGTGTGTTGCAGGAAGAGCTGATGCGTTTGCGCCAGTCTGCGGGCGGTGACGGTCGCGTGGCGCGCCCCCACTCATACGGACCCGAAAAGAACGCACAGATTGCACTGATGCCCTGGGTTATGACCGCCGTCGGCATGGCGCTCCTCGGCATTATTATCGGCAAGTTCCTTATGTGAATGGTCCCCCCAGTCCCGCGGTGACCTTGACATCGCCTCACAGATACCGCTGTTTACACCGCTCCCGATGCATCCCTCTCGCACAAGGCAGCTTATAATTTTTATAGCAACCTCTCCAAAGCTTCCATCGTGCCGTTCTTGTGTTCCTCTAAGAATTAAATATCTAAGTTAGTGTAATTCTTTATTACACGGATATTTGTTTTGTTTATGCAACCACACTTATTATTGTTTTATCCACGAAACTCGCCAAAACTAACTACCTGTACTTTTTAGAGCCAAGTTGTCAACATGAAAATTAAAGGAATGTAACTTTGAAATAACCTGTGTAACGAATTATTACTGTATTCTTGATAAAGTGCTTCTCCAATTCCAAGGCAAACAATGTGTTCCTGTTAGTTGTTTGTTAATTTTATGAAAAATGTAGCGAATCCCTATATAAAATATATTATTGAATTTTGTATATATTCTCAAGTTTGTATAAGGAACTTCTTAATATTACCTCTTTGAAATACTTCTAGTATTTATGCCAAGCCATTCTTCCGAAGCTATACATCGCCCTAAACTTGAAATATTAACATTTTCTAGGAAATTGTTGTCATATTACTACAACCAATTTTCCTGTGTGTAAATGTGAGATAGGTGCTTAAGGTTGCTTGCCGAAAGATTCGCTTATTACGGCTAGATTATTATACTCATAGCTTGAGACATCATTCTGTCTGTATCAGCTGTTTAAAGTTGATAGAGCTGGGGTTATGTCTCAAGTCACTTTAATTTGTGAATCACTACATAATCCACCTTTTGAATCCCTGAGTTGTATATTGTTTATATCCCAGCCACACCCATTGTATTAATTAATCTTTTAGATGTTGTTCATTCACCTTATTGTATTTTAATGTTGCAACTTACATAGAACTTAGCATATTCACATGTTATTTCATTATAAGTATCACTACTTATTTTATGTTTAAACAAAACATTATTACAATTTGTCATCTGTATAAAAAGCAATAATAGGGTTAAGATCACCAAGCTGACAAATTATTAGCTATACCAGATTAAATAAAGATGTAAGTTCTGAATATACACCAAAGGTGTGGTACCATAGTGAGCACTTGTACTCGTACTACATCATCACATAATGTGTTTACAGCCAAATATATAACAGAGAGAGGACACATTCTTAACTGTATTGCATTTGTGTTCTTCTTATATATAGATTTAAAATAATTGTTGATGATAGAAGCTAGTAGTCACTTGTAGTCGCCATAAAACATAATTTGGAATTTGCAATCTTGGTGAGATTTTCCCGTGAAATTCTTGATTCTAATGTATTAAGGTAACACCTACAATCAATAATGTGATATAAAAAATGCAATGAGTAGTGTTAACAAATCATATTCATATTTATATAATAAAGCATTTTTATAAACAGTGGTAAGATGTCAGGGCAGTAGATCGGTCAATAGATATTATATTTATCTATTATAAAATATTTTTTGCCTAGTTTATTGAGTAATGATAAAGTTGTAACCGTGTTTCCTTGATAAACTTTGGTGTTAACACATGTTCTCTATGACACCAAACCTAGTTCAATATGAACATAGTTAATATTAATTGCCATTAAAAATAATTGTTTTGGCAAAACACCAAGAATTATCAAGAAGAGCGGGTTACTAGATGCGGCTTGCCAAGTGTGCTTGTCGGCATTTACTAAATTGATGATATGGATATAAAATTAGTATAGTACACATGATGACAGCAACAACTTCCAGCTTTTATGTACAAGTAACAAGGTAATGGTGGATACAGTTGACAAAGTCGTTTTGGGCGTCAGGCAGTCGGTCGTAGTGCTAGAGGTAGCAGTGTTGCTCTTATTACTCATTTAACTTAGAGACGACGCAGCTTTGCGAAGCCATAAACTGGACACGTGTCTTACGTTAATTACTTCAAGTGCCATCATTTCTTCCATGTGGACTGGGTCAGCTATCTTCATTGCCTTGGCACATAGATTTAAAGTAGAACATTTTTTACAGTATTCAGAAGTTTAAGGGTTTTTAAATTGTAGTTTGGTGCCTCTGATAACAGCCTAGAACTAAATTGAAGAAACCGGATAGCGAAATGTGTTGCTTAATGTTGTATTTAAATGTTCCTTAACGGGCCACTAACTAGTACTGGCAATGTTGCTACGCTACATAATACTGTGTCTTTTTGCATTTTTTTTCCTGCAACTTAAAGGCGTTCTTCCCGCACGCCCTCGCTGATGGCGAGTTCTGCATTTTACTCTCGGATCTATCGCGGAACGAGAGGGAATAGCTTTACTAGGAATCAGTGGATTAAGATGCTGGTTGGGTTCTATATCTCTTATTTAAAGCACAATGCTGATGCCTAATCCCTTTTGTTATTATGTATACATAGCTGCATGTAATACCAAAAACATTAAACACTGTATTTCATTGTTCTTTAACAGTCACAATTTTCGACAAATATTCTAAAATATGCTTTGTAAGTTCATACCTTTTTAAACACTTGATGAGTATCTTATTAATTGATGAATTATTATTGCACACCTGCGGCTGCGAGACAGTTTATGTATGGTGCCTTGTAGCAGACATAAATTAGATATTTGCCAGGCTTCTATAGCAATAAATATTATGTGGCCCGCCGTCTACTGGTGACGAAAATGTCTTTTGGCTTGGCTGCGAAATTTGGTATTGGATTCTAAATATTTCTTCAATTTAGGGAAATTGGCTCGAATTTACCGAATATTACGTTAAAACTAAATTCCTGTAAACGATAAAGAGTCGAGTCGTACTTAGTAAATAGCAATAGCGTCTGAAGCAAATATTTATTTGTTAAAAGTGCAGGCAATAAGAGTAAAGTTAAATAATTAAAAACATCATATTTACTTAGGGTAATCGTTAGTTCCAGTTAATTTATGCCTGTGTCGTCGTGCATAAGTAAATTAATATCATAAATAAATTATACAGTGTTGTCTTAAATATATTATTGGCTTGTGTGTCAATCAGAGTGAATCAATCGTATTCTAAATAACAATTGCGCTGTGCGAAATATAAATGTTAGTACTATGTATTGTTACTATTATTATTTATAAATACGTTTAGCGTACGTTACTGTTCTTGACGACACACTGTACGTTTCCCGAGTATTGTAGAGCTCGGAGCCTACAGAAGAATCTATTTATTTATTGTAGCTGAAAGTGCAGTCAAGTACACACGACGAACGTTTGTGCTGGCAGTAATGCACACACACTTCGCAACCAGTAGTGCATCCGCATAAGTGTACGTATCGAACTGTGTATTTGCGCTGCATGCGCCGAATGTTATTTAGAACATTAAGTCATGTATTTTCGTAGACTACTTACCATACCTGATGAAACAGCCTTCAATACTTAGGGTTTAATGTTATGACGTGTTAAGTGGGAAAATATAGTAAATATAAATCAGGTTCATATACTTATTACTTATTGTGTATTTTGGTGTAAGAATTGAGTGAAATTGTCTCGTCGTTTTTTTCAAATTGTGTACAATTTTAGCTTTTGAAATGTTCTTATCGTAAGTGCAAAAGTATTTGTTTAAATTTTATGAATTCTTGAAATTATATTGATATTTATATGCTTACTTAATGAAAACTAATGCCCTAGATAAATATATGATAACGATACAGTGCGAGTATTCTTACGATAATTATCTTTCATTTCTTACACAGTATTCAGCCCCTGTGGGTTGGGGAGCATATTAGTTGCATATTCGTTAGCGATATTCACGTGCCGTCATATATAATTTGGTAGCCGCATTCTGTGAAGTGTAAAATTATTTTTATTACAACGAATACTAAGTTTATTTAAGTGCACAGCGGGAGTAACAAACAGTGAGGATAGGAATTCGCTTTTAAAAAACCGTTTGGTTTGTTTACGGCCTGGTCTGGCTTTAGCTGAGCTTTGCATTTATCTTATCTCCAACATCGTAATTGTTAAAACATGATATTCTCGTAGGTATTTGTTTCTTTATGCTAAGAACTGATCATGTTTTATGTTGTCGTTATATCTTACAATTGAATGTACCGAAGCTCAGCTAGTGTCGAACTGATACGAAGTGTGAATTGAGGATCGTATGATAAAAAAATTGATAGTACAACCGTGGCTCTGTTGCGCCAAGTCCACGGCTACTATTCGATAAAATTAACTAGGCATCAACATGTCATGTTTCATAGCACATTTAATCGTAGTTTTGTGTCAGTATAATTAGAGGATTTTCACTCTTGTTTATGGCATTTTTGATTTTCATTTGTGGTGGTTTTTTATTATTAATGCGGATGGACAGAATGTTTAATTTTAATGACATGTATCTCTACATCATCTAGATAAGATTGGACTAACTATACGACAGCTGATGAGTAATAAACGACGGGTGTTTAACACAAACACATACGCAATATTTTAACGAGAGTTTTATAGCTCTGAAACATACACACATACATAAATTTAAAAAACAGTTAAACATGAACATTTTATAAAGACTAATAATACTAAACTTCATACTAACTGCTTGGATAAAACAAAAGTTTCAATAGGCCTCTACTTAGGTACTATCCACCACCGTAATATTACGTCACATAAATCGGCAACATACGGATTCGGTCGCGAATTTTACTTACGAAACACCAAAGTTGGCTTTTTTATCGAAGTGATGGCAACAGTTCATTAAAATTATAATGTGATGTAATATAATGACGTAACGTTGTAAAACGCCATGCTTAGGGCACCCCATAATAAAGTTCGCCGGCGTGGCGTTGCTAATAGTGGGCTGTGAACTAATACAACACTCATATTTAGTACATGAGTAGTTTTACTTGTAGGTGTCAATCCATCCGAATATGCAATTGCAAGTAACTCGAAAACATAAAATTTTTAAATGGCTCTTCAAAGATACCGACGTTTTAGTCGGTCCTCTGTAACAGCCTATTGAAATTTTTACATCCATGTCATATTGTCAATACTTAAATATTCTCGTAATTTTTTTCGAAGATGATGTACTGGTATGAAACCATTAAGCATCGACGCGTAGATTTCTTTTAATCTATATCAATAGTGAACATTTAAATTTAAATTTCCGTATGGTATTGTTGTTATATTGTACTATTATGCTATATTGTATCGTTTTCTGAAATAAAAGACTTAATTTATGATTTTCTAGTTTTCTTTTCATTTAAAGCAGTCGTGTCATGAGTCCCTTGCCTTTTTTATTGGTTATCATCTGCAAAGATGTAAGTACATGAGGTATGGCTACACAGTGTCGTTACTTTTGGG